CTTCTTCATATCACTTTTTGGCATTTTTGGTTGCACGATATACCCTGCTATGAACAGACTGACGTTTTGTGATAACTACAAAAATCTACTTTCTGGTTGTTAAAATTAGAGTGAGGTTATCTCAAGGTCATATCAAGTTTAAAAAATGTTTTTGGCACAGGCAGCTCTCTACCATCTATCTCTCCCTGTATGCCAGCAACAAGTGGATGTGGGATTGCAAAAGTACCCTACTCCATGCTATGAAAATATTAGCTATAGAATTTCAGTTTGGAGGTTGTGGAAACTATCCATACGGGCCAAACAACAGGGGAGGTCACTGTAATTAAACTGAGTAGCTAGCCTGGTGATTAAACAGTTGGGAAGCAACATACATACTTTCAGTTAGCACAAACTAGAATCAATGCAAACACGTGAAATAAACAATTCAAATATTGACTAATGAAATCAAGAAATCCAAGAGAGTGAGACTGGAGACAACCACCATTAGGCCAAAATCACCAACAATTGACATTCTTATAACGCAGTTAGTATTCATTCCACACTCTACATAAAATGTGAACTGCATATCTATTACCAAAACAATCAAAAGCACCACAGAAGAAGGAAAAAAGAACAGAGTAGATGGAAAGAATGGAAACAAATTTGAAAAGGGACTCAGAATAAAGCGAAACAAGACATAATCCGCGTCTGAAAATGAATATATTTAGAATAAAAGAAGGAGAGAGAGAGAGAGACAGACAGACAGACAGAAACATTCATCAATGCCACTATTTCATAAAAGCGGTTGACAAGGATTCAATACCTGGGCAAAAGAGTACATGAGGCTGGTGCTGAGAGACCTGGGAGCAGACCATGAATGAATCACCTCAATTCCTCCATTGTTTTCTGCCATGTTTCTGGTTGTTTTCTTTCTGGGATCGCTGTGATTGGAAAGGAAAGTACAGCGACGAACTGGGACGGGTTCTTGTGTTCTTGAAAAGGATTGAAGATGGTTGAGTTGCAGAGTAGGAGTAATAAATTTTGACTTTTTCAGTGTGCCAAATTACCGCCTTACTGACGCATGCGTGTCCTAATGGTGACCGACGATAGTGCTGGCTTTTTGTTCTTGTCGGACGTCAAACGGTACAAATTTTGCTCGCCGTTGGTTTCTCATATGACTGATGTCGATTTGGTTCTCTTGACTTTTTTCTTTCTCCAGAGGGGAATCCAGCGGTTCTTTCTTGACAAATAAGGGAAGCTACAGTTTCGGTCCAAATGTGGGAAGTATTTGGAAAGAAAAGTCCTGTAGTAAAGGACAATACCATTTAAGCCCTCCTGTGAGGTTTTCAAAATATCAGAAACCTCCCCTAAAATTAATTAGTTTGTAACAAATCAATCCAATTCAAATAGAAAAACAATCCATTTAATTACTCATTGGTATTAAGAGAGAGAAAAAAATTTGACTCCATGGCAGCCCTCAAGTTTTTGCATTAGATAGTTAATTTACTATGCCCAATATAATATCTATTTTAAATTTATCAAATATGAGGGAGTATTAGTGAAATTGCTTACAAAAGCAATTTAAGTGGACTCATTTTTGGAAAATATATGGCTAGAAAGGAAGAAAAAAAAGATATTGATGTATCCTATTCCTCTACCTACTCTCCAGCTAATTCATATCTATGAAATCACAAAAATGCAATTATGAATTATCCAAACAAATTCAAATGATTTTCAACTAAAACAAGCCAGTTATAACAACCAAATGATTCTTGTAAAGGATATAAACCTCAATCAAATAAAATTAACACTGCCAATATTTACCAGGATGAATTGCTTAATATAATTTTTTCAATTAATCCATCAAATGAATCATTTTTTTATTAATGCTAGATGTGTACCTAATCCAAACTTGCGTCATGGACATCAGACATAAAATTGTTTGGATTGTAAATTATTTGAGATATTTTTACTGCAGCACTTTTCGTGATGTGATGTATGTGAAATAGAAAGGTAATTAAGAAGATAAAAAGATGTATTAAAAATTGTAATGATGATGTAAGCAAATATAATTGACTAAATAATCTGCTGTCCAAACAAACACCTAAAGCAGTAGTTAATAAAACCTACCAACCACGCGTCACAAATAAATGTTCTACTTTAATTATTCAGTTATTCTTTTCCTACTAAAGTCAATTTTTAATTTTTAATTGAATGACGACAATTCTTTAACTGGTTATTACTAGACTAGCTAGTATCGTCTTAGTTGTCTTTCGGACCGCTTCCATGCCCCAAGCTATGTTTTCAGAACCGGACCGGATAGCGACTCGGCCGAGGTCAGGGGTCAGGGGTCAATGGGTTCGACCGGGGGTCGATAGGGGTCGAACCGGATGACGTCATAAATAAAAATTATTTTAAAATTAAAATGTTATATATATAATATCTAATAATATATTGATATTAATAAAGGCATATTCATATATATTTGATGTTTCAAATATATTTAACAAGAAAATACAAAGAAATTAGAACAATCAAGTAGCAATTTATATTATTTAATAAATATTAACAAGTTTAGAATTAAAATTATGAATTTAATTGAAAAATAACATCAAATTTTAGGACAATATTTATAAAGTATCAAATATTTGAGGTATATCAATAAGTTTTAACAATTTAGGGGGTCAAAACATAATATTAAAAAGTTTGAATTTTTTTTTTAAAAAAATACTGTTGAACCGGAAAAACCGGTTTTTTCCCGGTCAAACCCGGTCAAACCCGGTTTTTGACCGGCTTTGACCGGGTTTTAAATTTCCGGTTTTCTAATGTGACTCGGACCGGCTACCTGGCCGGTTCCCGGTTCAACCGGTTCGACCGGCCGGTCCGGTCCGAGTTTGAAAACAGAGGCCCCAAGAGCTGCCATTACGCAGATCCGGATTCTCCGCCGTCACGGTAGTCATTGGAGGCAGCGATTCATGCTTGATAGATGGAGTAATTAAAAATTAGGTGATGAAAATTGAATTTGTAGGCAAAATTTTTAATAAGTGACAAAAGTTATCGCATCTCTTTGTATGTTATTATCTTTGCGCCAACATTCATTGTATAAGGACGATTTTATATGTTGCAATCTTAAAATTAACATTTATTGTATCAGAGCACGTTCTTGTATGTTATTATTTTAGTATCAACATTTATTGTGTTAGAATCAACATTATTATGATAGATTTCTAGTATTTTCATCTACCCTTCAACTTCTGATTCACCTTTGGATAGGAGTTTATTTGGATGATTTATTTGAGATAATTACTGTAGCACTTTTTGTGATGTGATGTATGTGAGATAAAAAGGTGATTGGAATTTGTGAAGCAAATTATTTTATCTGAAATCATGCCAATCCAAACATGTTGATAATTAGACAAGGGAACCTTTATTGGGGTATTTTAATAAAAGATCAAATGGTATTGACCAAATTTTAGACGAGTCATAGCTTTCTAAAGAATTTATTTTGGGAATTATGGGAGTTACATTTTGGGCGTTATAATTCTTTTTAAAAGGGTTATATATCTTACATCTTAAATGAGAGAGTTATGATATTTAGATTCCTAACTTCACTAACAAATTTTATACTAGTTAGTTATATAAGTAGCAATTTGCAAAATTCGTCGTACATGATATTTAGACATATCATTCATATTTAATATTAAGTGTGTATGTATAGTAGGTCTGTCAATTGGACAAGTTTTAAATTTTTCACGCTCAATCACAGTTAAAAATATAAAAAATGAGTTCATTCAAATTTCAATCATCCAAGCTCAGCTCTTTTCATTTGTCAAAAAAAAAGAGCTCAGCTCCTTTACATCATTAGGTTTCAGGCATCAAAACGGGCTTTCACAGCCAAGGGTGCGAAAGAAACTACGCTATGAAAAGCATCTCTACTCTCTGGCTATCTATGAAGAGTCAAAATAAATCCACTATTCGAATATTTTGAAGTTCGTAAAGACCCGCCCCTTGTTTCAGTCAGAATGATTCCCCGGGACATTAATTATTTATATCAATTTTATTTAATAAATATTATATATAATTTTTACATTAAATATATAATTATATGGGCCAAGCTCTTTTGTCCGGTTGAACCTAGAGCATCGTCAAAGCTCCGCGACCTCCTTTGCTTTTGACACTTTTTGATAAATTTTTAGTCATAGGGAATAGCATTTCAAACCAAAGAAAAGGGTCAAAACTCGAGACGAACCGTGCGCCGTGAGCAGTAACGACGTGAATAGTAATAGCGTGAACAGTGCCGCGATGAACAGTGGTACTTTTCTTAGATGTTTAACCCTAACCCTAGGACTTTAGCTCTGATACCATGACAATAGGTATTTTGGGAGGAAAAATATCTAATCACCATATTATGAGTGACCAACTAGTATTTATAATAGTACAAATCTAACAAACTATTTACAAAAATACCCTTACTAATTTATTATCTACAGGAATACTTATATTCTCTTAACACCTTTTAATAAACAAACTTCATCATTTAATCAGTGTGGCATTCTGTGATCTAGTGAATTTTCTGTTTCAATTGTTTATCACCAGCTTCTTGTCATTTTTTTTTTATTGTTTTCAATTTTTCTTTGACTGAACTAAGGCATTCATCAAAAGACTTTGGTTTGTAATCTGTTCTTTGGGTGGCAATAGAAGGCTAACTTGTTCTTCCTATAGCTACATATTCTGTCAAAATCCAAATTGGCTTTATATGGTTGGGTAATACTAAAATGCACTTGTTAGAAATGCAGCTCAAAATGGTGTTTGAATTGATGTCACATTTAATCCATCTACTACTTAAGAGGGGTTGCTGTTCAAAATCTTGATTTCTTAATATGTTCATTGTAGTGTAGTCAATTAAATCTTCTTAATATACTCATTGTAGCGTCAGACCACGCGTCATTTTGTAATTAGACAATGAAAGATCTAAAATCATCAAAATCCTGTGCATCATTTTTTAATAATGTATGCTGCTGGTTTTGCTTATGTTGATCATGAATGATGTAATGTCACGAACCTGGAGCAGTTTATTAGAATTGATGGGCGCATAGTTGGTGATGGCCGAGTTGGACCTGTGACTCAAAGATTGCAGAATGCTTACAAGGAGCTGACTGGACTGAAGAGTCTGGTTTACCTATCAACATAATTAGATTTAAATAAATTATTTATTTAAAATCATTGAATTTGTACGAGTCATTCAAATCCATTTAAGGTTGATTTATATGGATGGATCGGTGGATACTGATTCATTTTGCTACTTCTAATAGATCTGACCTTTTATGGCAAAAATAAAAATGGACTGGATTATTTGTTTAACTACAAATAATAAATAAGATCTAACATTTTTGCTTTTAAAATGATGGATTCAGGTCAAAATATGGTCGGAAGAGGTTCGGACGCGAAATTTTATCCACTTGAAAAACGATTTTTCCTTAAAAAGGTTTTTTTTTTATTTCCCCAGCAAAAAAGTCTTTGGCGCAAAATAACAAACACGTCGTCTGCAAGCATACTCTGTTCAGAAAGGCCATGGATATCCAAGAAAACCAGCAAGCAGTAGACATTTCTAAGCCTCCGTATCTACATCTGATTTCCGCCTTTCTTGCAATGGAACCCCCTGACGTCCTAATCTCCTTGGCAAGGTAAACAAATGCTATCATATTGTGCGGAACGGTAAATTTCTGGGGCTCACATGCAAAGTTTTTGAACAACTGTCAGGAAGTGTGGTGGTGGTTTGATTGGGGAAAGAGTACAGGGCTTCATCTGGAACAATTATATTAACACTACAGTAAGTTAATGAAATTTTTGAATTTTTTGACTGGTCCTCTTTCTTTCTTCCTCTTCTTCTTCTTCTTCTTTTTTTTTTTGGGAGAGGTTTTCATGTATCTGTTTAGGTAGGGGATGGTGGTTGCCAGCAGGGGCCTTACTTGAAAAGGGTTTTAAAGAAGCTAATTGGCGAAATTGAGTCAGATGGAGGTGTTGTGTTGGATGAATTATATGAGCGTTATGCTTTTATCATGACTTCTTTAAAGGTAGTGATTTTTTCTTAAATTTTTTTTTTCTTGTTATATTTTATGGCCTTCTTGCAAAAGTTTATTTGAAAGATAAGTTTTTTCTTTTTGGGTTCAATTTTTGTGGGTTTTCCAGGGTGACCACTTTTCAGGAGGGAACTCAAGGGTTTTGAAAAGAATTTCATTTCTTTTTCCTGATGGTGAGGATTTTATGCTTATATACCTTGCATTTATTCTCTTTTGTTATTGTGATTACTAATAGTTTTTGCGTTGATTTGGCACTTGTAGGATGTTGTGAACTTTCAAGTTGTCCGAAATCTAAGAAGTTGGAAGTGTCACTTCATTGTTCAGTGGACATGCTTGAAGGAGATACGGGGTATACCCTTTTTCCTTTTAATTTTAAATGTTGATGAGGGAATCCAATTTTGTAAGGATTGCAATGAGAAAATATATTTGGAAAGAGGTTGCTTTCTTTACTGGTGCATAGGTATTATTTTGCCAATCTCACCCCCGCTGCTGGATAGAAGTAGTGCAGAAAGTGAACAAATTATCGATGTGCTTTCTTGAGTGGTGAATGTGGATATGTTAATAGTTCCCAAATACATGCTTTCTTCGTTTAAAATTTCTATTCTACTTGTCTCTTCAAACCAACCCTAGGGAAATGATAATGTTTGTCACATTTTTTATTTACACTGTGAGGTGCTAATTCTCCAGTGTCTGGGAAGGGAATTGTTGTGTGTGATTTTCCATACTGTATGGCCCTCTTCATACTCCACGTTGATTGTCAAGTTTTACCTTTGTTATGCCCACTCTGCTTCTCGTTTTCTCTCCCCAACTAATGAATAGATCTTGGCGGAATTGCCACATATGAAATTGAGCTCAATCTTGATCAAAGTAATGGGGTAGATGGACATACCATTTCTCCTCCCCCCCCCTTTTTTGGCCAGGAGGATGTGGAAAAGGATACAAGAACTTTCATGTTGTTTTTTCAATGTCCATCAGTGCAAGTGGCATGCTTCTTCTCAAAAGGACAGACCATAAGTTGACAGAGAAATTAGTTTCATATTTGAAGACGTAACTGAATAAGAAGGCCAACTAGCTTGGCTGGGATTCCTGAATCATGGATGCAAGATAGACTCTGGGTGATAGGCAACTTGTGTCTTACCTTGATTTCAGACTGGTCATTCAGAGACCTTATATACGCAGTTGCTCTTTTTTCTGATTTGAGATGTTCATTACAGCAGCATATGAATTTGTAGTTCAAATATGGTGAAAATGATTACTCTTTTTAAGTAAGAGAATGTTTCTAACTGAGTTTACCAGGTTTGGTTTGCTTAACATTGAGTTGCAGGAAAAGTTTTGAAGGGTGGATGTACTGGATTAAAAATGAGAAAAGAAGTGGTCTGGGGAGTTGGGAAAACCTGGAGAAGGATTTTTCTGTATCTTTGACCATAAGTAAGACTAAGGTTGCGTTTTGTTACTTGGGAAGTCAAATGTTCAGTAAATGAAAATAACTTAAACAGACTGGTAAGTGTACTCCCTGGGCCCCCGGGGCCTGTAAAACAAAGAAAAAGATAAAAATAAGAAATCTAATTAGACCTGAAGTGGGGGAGCCTCGTGCAATAATAGTGTGTCTTTTATTTGCATGTTCTCATTGGCATGTTTCGTAACTTAGCATATATGTATGAGTAGGCAAATATTGAGTTGCTGAAATGCGACCTACTGATTTGTTCAAATGCAAAAATGCAATATAGGAGAAAATGCTATATCCTCAAAAAACATTTTTGTTCTTATTTTCTTAGGAATGAAATTCGACAAGATTTTCTTTTAATGTCCCTATTAGTGGTTTTCTATAGTCTGACCATTGTTCTTTTTATATTTTTAATGTCTAATGTACTTTAGTTGGTCTGAGATCGGTTTGTGACCTCATTGGATTTCCTTTCTGTCATGGTCTAAACAGGTGTTCAATCTGGCCGTCAAGTCTTTACCTCTCAGAGTTTATACTTTCTTTCCCAAACATATTTTCCAATAGATCTTGTTTTGAGGTGAGGTATGCCTTCCAGAATTTAGTTGCTGTTCTGTTTTTTCCATCTTTCACTCCCTGGGAAGAGTGTGAATTTGACTTGCTTATTCATCTTCATTTTACTAATCATGATTATGTTATATTCCTAGTGGAATTTTATTTTTGTGGTAATTGACCAAGAAACAGGTTGGTTCAGGTGTAGGTTTGGTTGGTGTATGTTTGGCCCACGTGAAAGCTTCTGCTGTAAGTCGCTCCCTAACTCAAGCCATTATGTGTATGTTTATGGTTTCTGCAAGCAGTCAGTGTGCTTTTCTCACAAACTCTCTCTCCTCTCTAGTTGTTATGCATGTATTACAGTTCGTTGAAGGAACCAGCATGCTTTTTGTTGAATTAAAAAAAAAATGCATCCATATGCTTTCAACCATCTTTCTTATTGGTTTTATGTAAGGCCTTCTTCCATCTTTATCCAGAGACTTGTATTTACTCTTAATATATTGAAGATCATACAGTGAACCCTTCTCGTTTCTGTGCAATTAAGACGCATATAGAATTTGAGTTGTGTGCCTAAAAGTTTCATTTTTATCGTTGAGGGCACTGGTTGGCATTTACTGTCAGCTGGATATATTTCAATTCTGAGATTGATGTTCAATTATGTAATTACCTGATGCAAAGCACTTCACCTCTTATGAAGGCCTGTATACAAATAGCAATCATCTGATTTTGGTAATTTTCATGGGCTTTGTTCAGAATACTCTTAACTCTTTAAATTGGAGAAATGTTGACAGCTTGGTTAGAGATGAAAGTATTATTTCTTGTGTTGAGGCCTGGTTGTAGCAAAGCAATGCAAGTTGCAATGAACTGTTCCAATAACTATTTTGGGAAAGCTAAACCTCCATAAAGAGAGCTCAAGATTTATAAGTACAGTTTTGATAATTCTTATGATTTTGCAAACAAAGCTTGAATACTTCTGAGATGCTTAATTCAATTCACTGAAAAGTGTTGAATTCTTGGTTTGATCAACAAATTTTTCACCGTTTATACCATTGACACCTATACCTGCATTTTGGTGCCTCCATTCACGTTGATTCCACAGTAGGTTTGACATATTTATTGAGATTACGATTGATGTTAGATCTATTTATCAGGAAAGATTCAGCTTACAAAATTGGATTGGCAGCTTTAGGAATAGAATTGGTAATTTATTATTCCAGTACATTTTTTATGCGCTTACTGTGTTGCAATGTTCCTTAGGTAATAATATCTCTATGGGTCTTACTGTTTGAGATCTCAAATAATTCCCAATATTGGCATTTTAACTCCTCTGTTTGGAGCACTTATATAATTTGTTGATTAATTTGATCATACTATGTGTGGTGTCTAAATATCCACAATTGTTATGGTCTTCAGTAGATGGATTCTAGCAACTAGGAGAAAGCTTCAGAGTCCAAATTTCACCTTTAAAAATATAATCTTGAAATGTAGATATCTTGGTCAATGTTGCCAAAGAAAATTTGATTCCTGCTGAGGCTTGGACTGCTTCTAGTTGGGTAAACTTCTTGAGAGTCTTTTCAAGCAAGAGCTATATCTGGGAATACATCTAAACTTTTCAACCATTTCTGTCTCAGTTGCTACTAGTAGATAAAATTGTCCAATAAAACTGCTTTTATCATTGGTTAAACAGTATGTTTACTGTCTTTTCAAGAACATCCTTCTCAGTTTTGTTAAATGGCATGATTTTTTATGCATTTATTTCCCTCTCATCAGAGTGAAAAGATTCTTGAGAGCATATAAAAGACTTCTGATACCATCATCATAATTGATTTCTTTATGCAGGTGGTTTTGAGTGATGGCGACCTGTCCACTTTATCCAATATGAGGCTTAATTTGGAGTCAAATCTGCTCAGCACAAGAATTGATGTACCAGAATGCAAAAAAGATGCAAGTACAGTAAGTATAGGACTTTGGTTCCTACATATGTGGGTTTTCTTAGTATTGTGTTCTGGTTTCCTAAAACTAGCAGAGCTAAATTGTAAAGAAACTGATTTCCTTTATTATGCTCAACTTCAGTGTATATGCTTAGCTTATGCTACTGAATACTGAACTAAAGAGGAAAGTCACATTGTTGGATTCTTTTCATAACATGAAACTTACATCCATGGTCAACTCCTTGTGAGTTTAGTAGCAGGAGGACGTGCAATAAAGCATTGAATGACTGAATGACATATTATGTTCAAGCGAAGATTTAATTTTTCTGATGTGCAATTTTACGAGAATTTATTCTGAGATGCTTTTATAATGGTTATATAACCACTACATACAAGGTTAAACTAGGAATATAAGTATCTGAAAACCTTGCATTTTCAAGACATTTCTTATTTCTGCTGTCATTTTGATGAGGTTTGGTCCTTCCTAAAATTTGGAGGTAATTTCTGCGAAGGGCTAGAAGCTTTTCATTGTTATAAAGCTTGCCTTGCTGTTCATGGATTTACTTTACTAGGACAAGGACAAGCAGCTAATCAACTTGACATAATTTTGGTTGCAGGTGCAGTGTGTTCATTTACCATGGGAATCTGCAACAGAAATTGAGCTGCAAAACTTTGCACCAGACATAATGTAAGTTATTTTGCTTTTTGTTTCTTTTTTTTGTTGTTGTTTTTTTTTTAAAAAATACAGTAGAAATCTATTTGGCTTCTACGAGACTGTGAACATTGTTCCAGGCCTTTGGTTCTCTTTTCTGATGTAGAAAGGAACTTGTTAGTTTTGCAATGATTAGTTTGTCCATGTATCATCAATGTTCCAACTTTTAGAATGCTTTCCAGGGAACTAAGAGAGATTTTTTTTTTTTGGCATATTTTAGCTGGGAAGTTACTGATTGCTCCATGTTCATATTCTCTCCCTGCTTTACCCTCCCTACCCAAGTATCCATACTGGCATCTTTCTCTCTCACACATCTTCCTTTAAATCTGTTCTGGTATCCCGTACTTTCCTGCTGCCAATTCTCAACCACTTGCTAAATGTTGGTTTGCTTGGTGTGAGTTGTTACCCTTAGAAGCCAGTATTTGTAATACTGTATGCACGTCATTACAAAACCCACCTTATTGTGCATTCTACCCATGCCTCTCTTTTAAAAGCCACCTCCCTTTGTGCATTGCACTTATCCGTCATGGTTTCTTGGTGCTAATTGCACCTTAAGCAGTTCACAACTACAGCGTTGAGATCTAACATATGACATCCTTTTTCCAGTTCATGTAAATTAGACTTCCTAGTTTTTTCTGCTTTTCCTCTCCTATAGGTTAAAGTAAGCCTTATAACCTCTCTACTATTCTGCAGTGTGGGTGCAGATGTCATTTATGACCCATTATACCTTCCCCATCTTGTTCGAGTCCTGACTGTTCTTCTGAAACGTGGAACATCATTCCCTAATGATGGAAGTGTTCGCTGTGAGGGATGTCAACCAGATTCTGAATGTATCAGAAGTGAAGTGCAACATGCGGATTTCGAGTTTGATAGCAGCAAAGGAAAAGCCGAGAGTTGCAGTGCTCCATGTGTTGAGGACAAAGATGATGCGTTGGAGAGACGCCCTGTAGCATATATTGCGTCTGTGATTCGTAACATTGAGACATTCAATTACTTTCTTGAGCTAATGAAGGAGGCAAACCTTACTGTCGCCGACATTACTGAGAATTCGAAGCCATTTGATTTGCTTCCCTATGCAAAATCATATCAGCGATCCACCATACGGATTTTTAGCATTTCATACAATTAACTTGTGCCAAGATTCTGTTCTCCATGCAGAGATTCCCTCTCTGGTGGCATATTGGTGTATCAATTTTGTATCAGACGTTGCAGATGGAAATCTAGTAATTATTTGGGTAAATTACTAGTAACCCACTGTCTTCCCTGTGATTTGATATGAAGTCTAAAGTGAATGTAAAGTACTTCCGTTCAATTGACCTCCAAAAACGTGTGTGATAAAACACTATAAAATCTATTCCAACTTCCCTGTGGTTTTGCATATATTGACATGATTTCTTTATAACTTTATGTGAAGTCATTATGCAGTTGTTCTGCTAGTATTTCAGAAAAGGCAATACTAACATTTCAACTAACGACAGTATGGTCACCACTTTCTGTCAAAAACTATGAGAGAGATACAAAGAAAGAAATTTTTGACATGCAAGGAAAATCAGGTGGCATAGTGTGAAACCATAAAGGGTTATTTACTATCGATTAGATTCTCAGTTGTGGTCGTAGACATATCTAAGCAGAAGGCTGAATAGTTATAGGAAACCATTTGTTGCAGCTTGGGTCCAAGTAGGTAGGGATGGCAACGGGGGCAGGCACCCGTCCTGCGGGGGTCATTGGAGTGGGGGTATGGGGGGGGGGAATTTTTTCCCCTCGTTTAGAAACGGGACGGGGGCAGGAGACTCGCATAATTATATACATAATGATATTATCAATTATATTACTAATTATACATGTCTATTCATAAAAATTATTAATTATTTATACTAAATTTATTAATACATTTATGTTAAATTTCTAACTACACTTAATAGAATAATACTTTTTCTAAAAAAAAATACAATAATAATTTAGTGATTGTATTTGTATCAAAAGTGAAAATTTGATTATTTTAGTTATATTTGTTTTATCATATTAGATTGTATTCAAATAACATTTGTTTAATTATTTTTATGAGTTTCAATTGTGAAATTATAATGAATAATAATTTGGTGATGTATTAATATTTTAGTACTCGATTATTTGCTCAAATTTAATTATAATGAAATTATATAATAAAATTTTTTTAACTCCACAGATACCCTCGCGGGGGAAGCAAGGAACGGGGGACGGGAGGAATTAAAATGCAACAGGGAGGGGGTTGGGGGAGGTGTCCCTCGCCCCATTGCCACCCCTACAAGTAGGGGTGACAATCGGATTCAAATCACGTTGTCAAAAAATTTGTTGACCCGAACCCGACCCCCGTCAACCCATGACGGGTCAAGCATATTGACCCGAACTCGAAAGTTTCAGTTGGCGGGTCAAGCGAGTTGACCCCAAATGACCTGAAATTTAATTCATCGAATGAGATTGCTCTGCCCAAGAAAAATCGTAATAAATGTTTTTCTGAGGTTGGAAAGGTCGTTAATTGATTTCCGGTGAACATTTTACTGAAGAGACTTTTTGGTGTGTGTGTATGTGTTAGAGAAAGAGAGAAAAAGTGGAAGCGGTTATATAATGTAGTTAAAATGTAAGTGACAAAACATAAGGTTTCATCTTTCTGCCTCTGTTGTTAGAAAAGAGGGAAAATGCTCAAGAAAGGAAAAGAAGTAAAGAACTCTACGGAAGGACCTTGTTGACAGTAGAACAAATCAACTTGCAACCCAAAACAAAATGTGATTGAGCAAGATAGTGAAATCCCTGCGAGATTCTGCGTGCTTAGACAGTTGGACTGCTCGTTCAATACAAACTTGGTTATGGTCATCAAATCAGTCCTGTATGCATCAGTGTCATCATCAGCCAGATCTAGATCTAAATCTGGTTTTGCGTTTAGATTTTTGAAGGAGAAAAGCTGCGTTTAGATTTTTGGAGGAGAAAAGTTGAAAAGGAAAAGAAAGATTTAGGGCCGGCATGATTTCTGCTTTTGCGTAGTGATAAGTGATAATTGGTATATTATATTTAGTTATTTACTATTAAGTTTTTAGATACTTTTTTAATATTTATTTATTTATTTTTATTTTAAAATTGGGTTAGCGGGTCAACCCGTTTTAAACCTGATTTTGACCTGTTTTTTTCGGGTCTAACCCGATTTCTCAAAATCTAAACCCAAATACATTAATTTCGTATTAAGTTCGTGTCGGGTTTTCAAATCGTGCCGAAAATTGTTACCCCTAGGTCCAAGAATTGACTTTGGGTTAGCTCATGGCAATGAGCAGCCACCGTTGCCATGTTCTTATGGCTTTTTTTGGGAAACTGCAATGCTGCTTTGTATCATATGAGGATAGGAAGGTGGATTCCTTGAGCTTTATAGATGGATTCGCTGCAAGTAGAAGAGAAAGAAATATGAACAAAGTCACATTTAATAGCCATACTACTTGGATAAATTATACAGAAAGCTATCATTCTATCTAGTTTCGTTAATAAGTTTTATGGCAAACTTAACCAAACCCTACTTGTAAAAATTGATCTTTAATCCAACAAATGAGTTGAGATCCCTTCATTGGTATATTCCGCTTTCTGGCAGTTCAATTTGAAGCATAGGAAACCACTAATCCTTTATTTGTCAATATTTGTCAACACAAAGAAAGAAAAGAAAAACTTTTAGGGTCCGAAAAGGTAAATATAGGCTTTAGTTGGGCAATTCACGTAATTCTCTTCAACTAGGCAATAGCATATTTTGCCCACAAGTGTACACGTATGCTAACTATAAATAGAGGTCCGAATTTCTGTTTTTCCGTTAATTTTCCACTCCAAAGTTTTCTCTCTCTAGATTTTGGCGGGAAAATCTTCAAAAAAATCCTCGAATTCGCATTCAGTCTTCTTCTCCGATCAGGTATAGTTCCCTGTGCTTAGGCATTTTTGGTCTGTGAACTGTGAATGTGTAGTTCAAAACCGAACTTTGATCAATAATCGATTGAATATTTTTAGTTGAATTTTGTGGTCGATTTTCAGGTTCCCATCAATTCATACACGGAAAATGTCGAAAATCAAAGTTTGCGCGCTATTCAGACCTCTTAATCAGAAAGAAAGAGCCGATCACGGCGATTCCATCTGCATACACGGCGTAGACTCTGAATCCTTCATATTTAAGGTTCTAATTTTCAATTTCAACAATAATGTTAGTATGTGTTCGAAAGTTATATGCTTTTCTACTAAAATTGTATCCTGTTGAGTTGTCGAAGCTTAATTTCAAGTGATGAATTTGTGAAATAAGAAAATTTTGTGAATTTTGTCGATGTATGGTAGGATGAGAAGGAGGACTTCAATTTTAGCTTCGATAGAGTTTTCTATCCAGGATCTCCACAATCTGACGTGTATGATTTTATTGCTCTGCCTCTTGTGCAAGGTATCAAATTTCTATTGATTCTCTGGTTTCAGCTTTCTACAATGAGATTATTGAATGTTGTTAGCGCTTTTATAATTTTTAATGTTTGGTTGATGTTGGTTTAAACAAAAGATGAGGCAAACTGTAGATTAGAATTGCTAAGTTGATCAGAAGTGAAAAAAAAAGAATGGAAATATCAAAGTTGATCTGGTCCTTTATACTGGAACATTAGTAAGATTACGACTCAAAAACTCTATATCTTGGTTACATCCAAAGATTGAAGACGTTAGCGGTTGATGTTAGTAGATTCAAAATCTCGTTTTGTGTTTGTAAACCAGGAACGATTTCATCTCTTGTTGTCTGTAGTCAGTAAACCTTAACTTAAGCTGATCCATTTTTTTTATGAAACAGGCAGTATTAGTGGAACAATTGGATTTGCTTTCACTTCCTACATTTGTCTTTTAACAAGAAGTTTAACCTGTAATTCTTGTTCACATCTTTTTCTTCTTTATTTTTTGATTCAACAGCTGCTGTTGATGGAATTAATGGGGCAATTATCACCTATGGACAGGTAGTCATGATTCGACATTTCCCATTTTTGTCTTTTCACGTCTGCAGTGGCTTTGTAGTAATATATTGAGTATTCTCCAAGCAGATTTAACAAACTTCTTGATTGCAGAACATGCATCTCAGAATAAATAATTGCAGAATTAATAAACATGAGATGTCCACTTTGTAGCTTTTCTTAATTGTTGCTTTAACCATCATAACTACAGCATACTTATGATCATGAGGAAAAATTAAGATAAATCAAGAATTGTATGAAAGAAGGCATAAAGTTCCAGATGTTTGAGATTGTAGCTGCTTCTGTCTTGTTTTGTTCTTAAATTTTACATAGAATGAGGCACTTGATTAAAACAAGTGAGGTTACGTTCCCAAATGTCAGAGATAATAGTATGCAGCTGCCACGGCAGATAATGTTGATCAATATTTATTTTCTTGATTTGCTGGTATCATGTTTTTCATGATGAAAACTCTGTTTAGTTATTGAGAGTTCTGATATTGGTGAATACCTGACATTATTCCTCAATTTCTATCAAGAGTTCAGCTAACGAAATTCTACATATGCTGCATTATGGTAGTTCTCAAAATCCTGCAGTAGCTTAACTGCTGAAGTCAAAAGTAGTGACCTGACCATACATTTATTTGAGTTTTTGATGAGCAAAAAGAAGCTTTTGTCTCACCATATTCTCATGAAACCAAATAATTTCTTTTCCAAATGTTGATAATTTCTTCCCCATCTTAACTTTCATCATAGTTAAAGTTGTGGAATGTATATGTTAGAAATTTGACTTCAAGAGTCATGATGGTGATTTAAGTGTCAAAAAAGTCCTTCGTTCACATGTTCTAGAGTTATGAAGTGTATATGGTCATTTTGCTACAGAAGAATAAGTTGTACATGTGTCAAACAATATTTTCTTTCTTCTTCTTATTTTTTTTTCCAATTGGTTGGTTTGTGTTGGGGGTTGGGCGGAGGGAAATGGCAGGTTCAGCTAGCAGACCCTGATTTGAGTTTGAATGAAAATTTTTGTTGATGTGTCTAATTATTTCTAATTAATATTGTAGGACATCTTCTTGTTTTTCAAATTATGTCAAGCTCGAATTAAGGTCCAAGAAGAACATTGATTTGTTCTATTCATCACGTAGCTAATGTACTCATTTTTTGTAGATAATGAGGAACTGTTGATGTAGCATGAAATTCAATTCGAGTAAAAATATCAGATCAGGATGAGTTTGAGCACTATACAGTTTGCTAGAGACATTTGTGAGATAAAGCCAAATTAAATGGCATGCTTCCATTAACATCATCAACTTTAGAGATCAGGATTGAAACTTGCATTTTTTGCATCATGAAGTTTCCTTCAGAGACTTATTAATAGATTTCTCGTGT